GGGGAGAGAGAGGAGAAGGAGAAAGGAAGGGGAAGGAGAGTAGAAAATGATGAAGGGAAGACAGGATGGAGAAAGGGGGAGGAGAGAGGGGGAAGAAGGGGTCAGATAAGGTATAAATATGGTGTATGGAGAGCAGAAGAGCCAATAACTGTTTTATTTTTTCTCTTTGGTAGTTGATGGTAAGATGAATTGATGTAATTACTTAATAATACAACATGATATTGACTATGTAATAGTATACATGTGATTATATGCTAAGAAAATGGAAAATAAAAAAAATTTCTAGGAAAAATAAAAGAAGAGATTGGACAACCATTTGTCCGAAATGGTATAGGATCTCCTGCTTGAGCAGGGGGTTGGACTAGAAGACCTCCAAGGTCCCTCCCAACCCAGTCTATCGTTGGTAGCCCCAGCATGACATGGGCCTATCCATGAATTACATACATTTTACAGAAATCATCTCTTCTCTACATTTTTTTTTCATGGATTTGCTTATGATTGAAATGATTTAATTTACCCGCTATGGAGACAGAAATGAGTTTACGTAAGATTTCACTGCCGCGCCTCTCTTGGTCTGTATTCTGAGTCTCCTACGAAATATGCGATTTACAGCGGCCCAAATCAATCACAGGTAACAGCCAGACTTACTTTTGAGTTTGAAAAGGTCTCGTTGCTCTTAACGCTGATAAATTGCAGCCGAAACGAACAGCACACAGTATTGTGTTTGCTTAGTATTCAGATCGCCACAATTAGAACATCCAGCCCCAGCTAAATAAATAATTGTTTTTCCAGCCTGGTGATTTCTTCATGCCTGATGTGTAGAAGAGTAAAATACATACATACATACATACACAGAGAGAGAGAGCACTGTCTGTTTGTGTGTCTGTGTGTGTGTCTGTGTGCATAACTCTGGAACGCCTCGAGCAATATCAGAAAATAAAAAAACAGATTACTCTCTGGAAACAAATACTGTGGGGGTAAGACTCCCCTAACACCTCTCGGGGGGGGGGGGTTCTGTTAAGATACAGCCTGTTGTGCCTTAAAATGGCTTCTACTGTGCAGTGCAGCGCAGTGGAGTTGCCATGATAACGGCTTCACAGTACTCAACAGCGGGGGCTTCCTGTGATAAGGGGGAAAATCCAACATTAGAAATTACATTTGGTCCAGACATTTTCCTTCTATAAATAAATACCTGGGGAAATGCCAGGTTATCGGCTAGTGGAATAAAAAAATAAAATCAGAGAGCAGGGGTTGTGGCATGTTGAAATTCTGGGCAGTGTCACATTTTTGGCCCAAGGTAAATGCTGAATAAGACTTGCGATGGTGCTATCCACACCAAGGTACCTGAGCAAATAGCCAACTCTTAACAAGGTTCGCCGTTCTGTCTCTTTGCAGGCAAAGTGATCCAGTGGGCTACAGATCACACTCCTGGCAGCCAGCCAAGTTCCCGGAGACCCCAGCCGATCTCAGTATGATGCAAATATCTCAGGGGACGATAAGCAGTCCTTGGCATCAAGCCTACCATCCGAGGTAACTCTGGCCATGTCTTGACCACAGATCAGCCCTTGAGAAGTGGGGGGATGTGGTGGGGTGTATGTAGAGATGGAAGGGAGGGAGGGAGGCAGGAAGGAAGGAAGGAAGGAGAGGGGACAGGAGGGAGGAGAAAGAGGAGAGGGGAAGGAGAAATGGAAGGAAGGAGAAAGAGGAAGGAAGAAAGGAAGGAGAGAGGGAAAGAAGGGGGAAGAAAGGAGGGGAGGGAGGAGAAAGGAGGGGGGAAGAGGAATGGGGAAGGAGAAAGGGAAGGAAGGAGAAAGGAGGGAAGAAAGGAAGGAGAGAGGGGAAGAAGGAAAGAAGGAAGAAGAAAGGATGAAAGGAAGGAGAAATAAGAGGGAAGGAAGGAATGAAAAAAGGAGGGGAGGAAGGAGAAAGAGGAGGGGGAAGGAGGAAGGGGGAAAGAGAAAGGGAAGGAGAAAGAGGAGGGAAGAAAGGAAGGAGAGAGGGGAAGAAGGAAGGAAGGAAGAAGAAAGGATGGAAGGAAGGAAAAAGAAGAGGGAAGGAAGGAATGAAAAAAGGAGGGGAGGGAGGAGAAAGAGGAGGGGGAAAGGAGGAAGGGGGGAGGGGGGAGGAGAAAGAGGAGGGAAGAAAGGAAGGAGAGAGGGGAAGAAGGAAGAAGAAAGGATTGGAGGAAGGAGAAAGGGAAGGGAGGAGAGAGGAGGGGAGGGAGGAAAAAGAGGAGGAGGAAGGGGGAAGGAGAAAGGGAAAGAAGGAGACCGAGGAGGGAAGAAAGGAAGGTGAGAGGGGAAGAAGGAAAGAAGGAAGGAGAAAGGGAAGGAGGAAGGAAGTCTAGTTGGAGTTTCCCAAACGCCATGACCATCAGCACCTTAAAAGGGGGGGTGGAATTGGAGCGGGGAAGACTTAGAAAAGGACAGGTTTCTCCCTCCCCCCCCCCTTGTCCTGATCTTCCTTCCTCTAATGATGTCTGAATATTTCGGCAATGTTTAGGATGCCTGTGATGAATTTCATGGGTGCAGTTGACTCACACGCGTTTCCCCGCAAAGCCGCCTCTGGAGATCTCCTCCATCTATTCCCCCCCCCTCCCTCTAGAGTCATAAATAAGAGACATGTGTTTCAATGTCAAAATGGTTCATTCTAGGAAACCAGGATGACTGCACACTAAGAACAGCACGAAGCCCAAATATGGCTTTTTGTCCATCCTCTATAAACTAAACATATCCCTCCGTCCCTTTATAAATCCATTCCACCCTCTCTCTCTCTCTTGCTCACTCGCATAGTCACGCTAACCAAGTGTTCCCTTCTGTGTTTGTGTTTGTGTGTGTCTCTCTCTCTTTCTCGCTCGCTCCAGTTCCTCCACCAACGACCTCTCCAACTTCGACCATGGCTTTTTAAGAAGAAGTCCCGACCAGTACAGTTCCAGGGGGAGCATGGAGAGTCTAGATCACCTGCCGGCGGGATACGCCCACCCTTCCTGCCATCTTTCGCCAGCCAAGTCCACCAGTAGCATCGACCAACTCGCTCACCTTCACAGCAAGAGGGATTCTGCTTACAGCTCGTTCTCCACCAGTTCCAGCACCCCCGAGTATCAGCTGCCTCCCTTCTGCAAGGAGAGATCCTATTCAATGGAGAACGTGCATTCCCGAGCCAGGCCGCAAGAAAGCGGCATGCGTCAGGCGGACATCCGGTACATCAAGACGGTCTACAATGCCCAGAGAGGCGTTTCAGAGGAGTATGAGGTGAAGTCCTCTGCTCTCGTAGCCAGCGGGGAGGCCCACCCTAAAGCTTACAGCACCAGCAGGCCGCACGGCCATCACAAAGTCCCGCAGGGGCGGAATTCGTTGGACAACGAGAGCCAGTACGCGAAGGGGCCTCCCATGCCGCCCACCCGAAGTGATAGCTACGCAGCAACCAGGCATCACGACAGGCCCACCTCTTGGTCTAGTCACGAACAAAGAAAGGCGTTGAGGACCCATTCCAAAAACGCTTGGCTTCTCCTAGGCCAGGGCGCGCCGCCTCCGGGGCAGCTCTCGAAACCGGGATTCCTAGAAGGACAGCTCCACACCGTGATGGAGAGGAGTCCAGAGGGCAGCCCCACCATGAAGCCCAAACAAGGTTACCCCCAAGCTACTCAACCAGGACAGCCTCTGCTGCCTACTGGGGTTTACCCCGTCCCTTCTCCCGAACCACATTTTGCTCAGGTTCCTCACCCTTCCGCGAACAACAGCGGGCTGGTGTACCCGGTGCTTGCCAAAGAGAGCGGTCACGCTCCTCCTCCGGCTTCTTTTCCCGCTTCTTACGAAAAGGCCATTTCCTGCAAGCCGCTTCCCGTCGTGGATGAGAATGGCAACCAGAGCATCCCGAGCAAGGCAACCGTCTTCTACCATCCGGAATGCGGACCCTCCGGAGCAGGGAAAAAAAAGATGGACAATGAGACTCCGAAAGTCGTCTTATACAGGACCCATCCTCAAGCCTACCCAACCTCTCCGAGACAGGAGGAGGAAGCAGAGCTCCCCTACACCGCGCAACCCAACATCCAAGAAAGCGCGAACGATGCCCAATATTTGAACCATGCGTTTCAGCCGTGGTCATTTCACCTGCGAGACGCGGTGGCTGAGAGCAAAGCCTTCTGCCCATCAAAGGCGTACACTTCAGAGGAACAGCCAGAGGACTGGAATGCCAACCTGCCGATAAATGAGGGTGATCCTGCTGCACAAAACCCGTGGAACCCCAACAAGGCGAAGCAGTTCCTCTTCTCTTCCTTGCAAAATATCCCAGAGAGCGCTCAGCTTCAAAACCCCATGGATTTGAAGGAGGCGCAACCGGGTAGGAATTGTTCGGGTGCCAAGTGGCACTTGGTTAACTATGCCAACCAGGAAGAAAAGGATATTAAAGAGCAGGCCCCAGAATATTGGCAGGAGAGAGAATGGCGTGCCACAGAAGATCACCGAGATGCCACGATGAGTGCCGATTATAGCCACGGCGCGGAACCAAATTATGAGGAACCTTCCTCTCCATTGCTCCCAAAGACCTCCGATTTCAGAGCTGACCAGTTCCGATCTTGCAGCAACAACAGCTTTCAGCCCCCCTGGTCTGGGAAAAAGGAGTCTAGGAAGACCCGATGTTCTGTGCTGGAGAAGGTCAGCAAGATAGAGCGACGGGAACAAGGCCATCCGCGCCCGCAGAGCGCAAATAGCTTGAGCCAAAATTCAAAGAAGTCCGGCGTTGAAGATAGCCGACGTAGACATAACTCTCAAGAATACGGTCAATTGCTGGATGAACACGGCAGGCCGGCCAGCACAAATAACTCAGACCTGTACCCAAATGTGCTCTATCTAAATGAAAGAAGTACTGGCAAACCAGAAAAGGCCAACCGGTACTCTGCCGAGCAGCAGAGGGCAATCGCGGCGGCTTTGGTAGCACCGCCAGATCAGCAGAGCACCTACCGCCACGGGGGCTCCAGCAAGGAGTCGCACAAGAAGTCTGGGCAGCTACAGAGGAGCCGTAGTACGTTCCAGTTGTTGGATGAACCCGAGAGAGAAGTCTTACAGAAAGTCAGTGCCAAGGAACCGCACGGCTCGCAGCGGGAAATTAACCCTGTTAACAGGACTTACAGGAACAGCATTAAGGATGCCCAGTCGAAGGTTTTGAGGGCCACCTCGTTCAGACGTAAGGACCTCAACATTAGCCCTGCTTTTGGGAAGGAGGTTCAGAGAAGTACGCCAAGACCCGCTTCAGCCCTCACCGGGATGAGGAGCACAACAGCATCTCCACATACCCCAAAGGAGAGGCACAGCATCACACCGACAGAGATCAAGATGGATCCTATCAATAAGGATGGCCTCCCGGGACCTCTGCACGTGCACCGTATCGGGGGACGGAAACGGCTAACTTCGGAGCAGAAAAAGAGGTCTTACTCCGAACCAGAGAAGATGAACGAAATCGGCGTGTCAGATAACGACCTCTCGCCATCCTCGCTTCAGAAGAAGATGCTCCAGTTTGTCTTCCAAGAGAGCACCGTGGCGGACCGACGCAAGATCTTCGAGAAGGAGAACAAAGCTTCTTCCACCATCAATCTTTCAAGGCCGGAGCTGAAGCAGCTGCAGCAAAATGCCCTGGCGGATTATATTAAGCGCAAAATTGGGAAGCGCCCTTCGTCGGCTTCTCAAGAAAGGGAAGGATCGCAGACCCCGTGCCGGCAAACCAACGGCCAAGAGAGCCAATCTTTGTCCCCGGCTTCCAGCATGAATTCTCTCCAAGACCAGAGTCTTTTTCACACCAGGGAGACTCTAGAATGGGCCTCTAGAATGGGGCACGTTTACTCTCCTCTGCCCGGGCTTCACGGCTGCTTTAATCCCGTTGAATTCGAGAGCAAGATGGCGGGCCCTCCAAATCACGGCGGTAACAGCAAAAGCTCCACACCCAGTTGGCTGAAATCAGATGGCCGCCCAGATCACAGAGTGAATCCGGAGCTGACAAAAAGCACACAGACCGATCTCGACCTCTGCACCCCGCCGCAGCCCGTCAACCAGATCCTGGAGAAAAAGACGCGGCTCACCAAGAAGCCTGGGAAATCGGCTTCCGCAGAAGATCTGCTGGATCGGACAGAAAACCAGCCTATGACCATGCACGTACGGTCCAGGTCATCTCCCTCGGCCGATAAAATGTGCCAGGTACGTACAGGTATCAAAGAGATTTCACAAGCTGCTTGTGGTTTGTTAATCTTGTGTCTTCTTATTTGCAAAGGCACCGGTGGTTGTTTTTCTGAGGCTCCACTAAATCTTGAGACAATTTAAGAACATTTTTTGCTCTATCGACTCACTAGCACCCAATTTTCTTCAGCCACAATTCTGTAAATTTGGGTGGCAAGGTATTTCGGGGGACCGAGAGGTTTGATGATGGATATATAGATAGGTATATACTATATGGGTATAGTATAAAAATAGGGATATGCTATATGGATATACTATAAAAATAGGGATATACCGTATTTTTCAGAGTATAAGATGCACCTTTTTCCCTCAAAAAAGAGGGTGAAAATCTGGGTGCGTCTTATACACTGAATACAGCATTTTTTGCCTCTCGAAGCCCCGCCCCTTCACCAAAATGGCCGTGCATAGCTTTTAGGATGCTTTCAGAGAACTCCTGGAGGCTGGGGAGGGCAGAAATAAGCAAAAAATGGGCCATGTTTCATTCAGTTTTGCCCCCCAGCCCCCAGGAGCACTGTGGAAGCCTCCTAAAGGCTCTGCACGGCCATTTTGGTGAAGGGGCGGGGCTTCGAGAGGCAAACAATGCTGTATTCAGTGTATAAGACGCACCCAGATTTTCAGCCTCTTTTTTGAGGGAAAAAGGTGCGTCTTATACA